ACAGTGATTTTTCTGAGTCACCAAGGAAGAGAAACTAGCTTCTAAATGGGCTGTAGTTTGTTTTTCTTGCCTCCAGTGAGAACCAAGAGTCCTAAAACAGAATGTCCATAATTGCTTTTTTGGACTGTACTCTTATCACAGCCCTCCTTGCCTCTGGAAGCCATGTGTATATATATCTCTTGCAAGAAGACAGGTTCAGCTGTGGGCTGTATCAGAGACTTAGGTGCCCTGAATCTGTGATGAGCTAAAACATCTAAAATAAGTAAAAAAGCAAACCACTTGCTTAAAGCTCAAAAGAAGTGATGTTTCAGGAGAAATCCAGAACCAGGCTCGACTAACATTAACATTTTCCTTATAGCTATTAAATTGCAAAACATGATCAATAATCCATGTTTAGATTTCAAAGCAGCCTACCAAATGAAATTTGTACAAATCAAGGATTTTGTGTCTTTAAACCAGGGGGAAAGAATCATCAGTGAAATGTAGGTATTCCTGAAAGAGTCTTCCAAATACTAGGGCTCAAAATTTAGTCACTGGTCGCAGGCACTCTACACATGACATGGGGCCAAGTCATCTCACTTGTCCAGGCCTCACTTGCCTCAATATTTAATAAGGGAATTGGGTCTCTAAGGATTCATCACTTTTTACCTTCTATAGTTGCCTTGAATAACCTCACATTTGCATGATTCTTTACATGTTTACAACCGTAAACTCTACGTGCTAAGCCTGAAGAACTGCGGTATCTTAAAACTTTGTCTATGGAATACCAATGCCTCAGCCCTCTAACACCAAAGGTCATTTTACTAATTTTCATCCCAAGGTCTCTCTCACTCACTACAATCATAGGATTTGACACAAAGAAAATACTACATTCATTTCTTTTATAATAACTTGATACAGGAAAAACTGCCTCCAAAAACAAGACCATGATAAAGAGTAACTTATTTCTATACGGAAAGCATGAGCTAAATGAGAATCACTAATGACATTAAAAATACTGTATCGGTTGCTGTCCAGTCGATTCCAACTCATAGTGACCCTACAGGACAGAGTAGAACTGCCCCAAAGTTTCCAAGGAGGAGCTGAGCTCTTAACCACTGCACCTAATAAAATAGATACGTGCAAAAATAATACACTTTTGGGCTATGTAAGGCATTTTTCTTTATTATTTTTTTTCAATTTATCTTAGTAATGCCAGAAAAATAACAGCCATTATTTTCACTTTAAACGCAAACCAAATACTGTTGCACACAGAATACAAAGGATACCTACAAATATGGTTAGGTACAAAGGCCATATTAGATGTATAGATCACACTTTGTTCTTACATCAAAGTAAGACTAACAGAGCAATTTGACAATTAATTATTTTAGCAAATAACCGTGCTACTAAACAAAGGCAAGTACACATATATACACAAACACGTCTCAACTAAAATTATACATGTCACTTTGACAAAGGCTTCTTCTCTGGTGGGATCACCAGATATTTGCACCCCAAAGTCCCCTGCCCTGATCCCACCCCCAAATGCTGACTTGATCTGAAGAAAAAAAAATTAGAGATGTTCTTAATTAAAGGCACATTTGGCAGCTACTGAAAGTGGCATGCATCTGGCACAGGTGCGCTCTCCCTACAGCCACACCAATGTGACTTCCATCCATATGCATTCTGTTTCTTTGAGTGGTAGTCCAATGTGATCCACCTTTAGCTAACTTGCTTTATAATTTTGCAGCAATTGGCTACTTAATGCACTATTTTCATTAAAGGCAAAAGGGAAATTTGCTCACAGTTGACAGAAAATGCACTTTACGGTGTCAAAAAAGGAAAATAAGGCATGGAATTTACAAAACAAGTTACAGGTGCTTTTGTTGTTTAGCTTTACCATATAGTCTTCATGCTTTTCTTAACTAGAGCTGAAAATATTTCATTGACTTGTGTAAGGGATTATGAAATGATTTTAAAAGTTGGTAATGAGATGTTTCAAGAGAGAAAAATATTGAATAAATTTAGTCATCACTTTCCCTTATAATTTTACTGCATAATTCTTTCAACCAAACCAATGTTAACCTTGTGATGTTTATTGGTAAAGATTAATCTGCAAAACAACAGGACCTACACTTGTAGAACAGTCACACAATAGAGGTTAAAAGAATAAGCAAACCTACCTACAGTGGCAGAATACCAAGAAATAAATGGCTAAATTTCTTTCTTTTCTAAATTTGGAGGGAAAAACGGTTTTCCTTAATATGTACAACACTAATAAACTGGAGTGCTTCCCCCCATTTCCGTAATTTGTTTTGCTGAGCCACTTACAAATAAGAATTTAAACTGTTACGTCAAAAGACAAATAGTGAAACACACAAAGTAAGCTAAACTGGAGAATTAAGACAAGAGCATGATCATAAATACTAATTTTTGGATTGTGTAATTTTTGATTTATGAAAATAACATTAAGGAAGAATTTAGAACCTCAAACATAGCCTCCAATGAAACAGTACTTGTTTACTAGACTGTTCTGCTGACTTGTAGTATAGTGTGGCATGTTCTTTGCTAAATACAAATCCAGTAAATTCAATGAGTTGTTAGAGCATAGTAACCTACTGAACACATTATTTGATGCCCAACAACCTTTAATTAAGCAAATTTATAACATTTTTATATTTGCTGATAATTTGTAGTTTTAAAATAGTTTAGAAACTGGGAAGAGTAAATAACCTGTCTTTTAATAAATTTAGAAACATGTATCTGTTCATGTTTTAAAAAGTGAGATGTGAAAAGCCTATTATATTGGTTATCAGCCCACTAAGTAAACCCAGCCTTGAAACATTTTCTTCATGTTGTGATCCAAGGATAATAAAACATTTAAGAACATTTCCATTTCTAAAAGAAAATGTTCCACACTTTGGAAGGTAGTGTAGAGAAAGTCATGCTGCATTGCCTGTCTTGTAATATCCTGGATTCAGAAGCAGAATTCTATAGTGATGCAATTATCTTCTCAGCCACTTATCCCTGATGAAGTATATTTTAGTAACTACAAAGGATAAATTTATCAGCTAGTTAACGTTTACATGTGAAGACGGCAAAGATACAGTTTCCTCACCTCCACCTAAGGGCATCCAATTGGGATTTTTCTAGTCAGTTACCACTGCAGAAAACATTTTTACTCAAATGACACTTTAGAATAAAAATATCCTCTATCCACAATGCATATAAAGCTGACGCACAGTGAAGTGGTCTCCTAGAACCACAGGGTAGAAGAATGGTTCCCGTTGGGAGTATGATTAGAACTCCAAAGTTAGAGTTATTCCTCACTGTAGGATCAGGCAGGTGGAAAAGGGCTCATCATCTTATGGAAGGTTCACACACTGGCTGGACAAATACTGAATGGGCTCCAATGTGACTTTCCTCAGGTTCTTATTTGGAGTGGAGGTAGGGTAATTAAAAAGAGAAGTGATCAATAAGCAATTTAAAGGGGAATCCTAGGGGCACTGAGGCTGGTCTAATAAACAGTCATGGGAGGTTCTGGAATGTGTGTAATGATTAATTGTAGCAGCACTAGTAAGTAGGCTTAGATAGATGTTGAATGGTCTTATGGACACTTTGCATCCAAGAGGGGATTTGAAATTCATTTTTTAGACTTTTAAAACAGACATTTTACAAAGAGAAAACTGGCTACCAGAATAAGAATGGAACAGATACTAAACGAAAAGATTCAACTCTTAACAAATAAATAAGAAAGGATATGATAGGAAGGACTGCTTGATGATGCAATCAACATACTTTCTGGTCTTTAAAAGACTATATACTGTACTATTGTGATGTACACTGTAATGCTCTAATAAATATCACAGGAACTTATTAAAGTACTAAGTTTCCACCATGATGCAGCACTTCTAGAAATGTTTCTAATGGCATGGTTAACAGAATTGCTAAAATGTTGCTTCATTATTCAGAAGACACATGCGGATACCGATGAACTGATGACTCTATAGATGGAATACTGCACATTTCACAGACATTATAGTGGAGATTAATAAAACTGTTTTCTTCAATAAGTTGCATGCATTTCAAGTCACAGTATTTGTCAGACTCAGAAGAGTAGTACATAGGCGTAATGAATAATCCATATTATGATATTAATGATGCAGGTAAATGTTCTATTACGAATAATTCTGATAGAGCAAAAGACCTCAAGCAAGGTAGTAGAATGTTTAATATAAACTTTAACAAACTGTATATATGTTGCCTAGGAAATAAAAAACTTACATAGTTCCACATAAACCCATCCTATTCTAACCAAGTATTTTCCTGCATGCCAAACTGCAACTTGAGATCACTCTTTAAGATTAATACATACATACAGAACTGGAAACCAAGGCGTACCACAATACGTGCTTTTATTCTTAGTGTTTGTGTGTGCATGTGTGTATGCTTCAACTGAAAGAAATAAGAATCGACCATTTTCTCCATATAATAATTTAATATATGCCAGCCAAAAAAGTATTTGTATCTTTATTCACTTAAATTAAAACAGACCTGCCAGGTATATTATGTAACATTCACTATATACACATGATTTAGGCAATGCAAGGTAATTCTAGATATGCTGATTACTCAACTATTAGTAGAACATGAATGGTGTCAGTGATGCCCAGCAAGTGCTCCTTTTCACATTGGGTGACTGCATTTCCATAATAAGGTTAGAGGGACAGCTATGAACCATGACATGGATTACCAGTAAACCTCTGTGGGAGAAGGGGGAGATGACAATCTAGCATAGATTAACAGACTCCTAAATGTAAATCATATACCTTAACAGTTGTTTTTAAAAAAATTCTTCTCTCATGTTACACAAAACTTGTTTGAAGGCCACACCACCACGTGTTGTGTGTGTGTGGGGGCGGGGGGGAGGCGGGGTTGTAGGGGAATGCTCTTAAAATTGGTATAATTATTCTTTAAAAAAAAAAAAAAAGTACCTCTTTGGTGAAGCCTCGGTACCCATTTAATTCACTGTAATAATCTGTAAACAGGACTGTAGTACAGTGCTGGGCCTTGAGTCCAACAAGGTCAGGTACCACAGCCTTTCCTCACAGTCCTTTTAATGATTTTTAAGAAAATATTCTAAAGTAGGAAGAGTAAAGCAAAGAAAAACAAAGGAGGGTATTAAGATCCCTGTTTTTTGTTTTTTTTTTTAAAAGTGCATATTTTGAATTACAAAAACTGTCATTATGTGGGCCTGCTGGACACTAGACTGTGTTTTCCATCCCTTTAATGATAAAGATCACTTCACAAAAAGAGGGCTCCTGCCTAGTGGCTGGAAAAAGTCCCTTTACTTGATTTTCAGGTGCAACCAGTTGTCCAATTCCTCTAGAACAGTCTTTCCGTATTCTAAACTGGAATACCACTGTCAGTGTATAATAAACGTCTAGGTTAAAATCCATTGTGTTATACTGCATCTTGAAGCAGAGTCATTAGTGTTTGGAGCTCTCATTGTAACCCCTCAGTGCTGGCATGCTCAGTGCATCCATCGCCAGCAACGGATTTGAGGCTAGGAAAGTGTACTCCCCAGTACAGAGGAACTCAGGACGAATGGGCATTCTCCAACAGCGGTGGTCCGTCTCTGTGCATGGATGGGTGTGTGTGCTCCCTTTTGTAAGTTTTTGGAGGGAGTTTAGGGATATGTTGAGAAGTGCTTTGTCGTGGAGGAACAGGCGGCCCAGCAATGGAATGAAGGTCCACTTCTTGTGTCAATGGTGGTGATGGCAGATGCCTTCTCGTGCCATGAGGAGAAGGTGTTTGAGGAGGAGGTGGTGTAAAGGGGGAAGGGCTGTTTGGGAAGAATGCATTGCTGTGGTCACTTTTTTTACCCAAAGGGGGAGGTTGGAGATGCAGTGGTGAGCTTGAGAAAACATCAGGTGTCCTCACAGGTTCTCGTGGTGGTAACAAGGGAGGGCTTTCAGGAGGGTCTGATACAGAGGTCCGGTCCGATATTGAGTATCGTGGTGAATAGACTTTAGATGTGGGTTGCCTAGGAGGAATTGCTGGGGGACTGTCCAAATGCTTAGACATCATCTGACAAAAATGGGGGGAAAAAGGGATAAAATGCACATTATTAATAATTTATACAGTACCATGAATGTATTAAGAATTAAGTGGGGGTTTTCAAACATGCTATTGGCAGAGGCCTAAGTGTGGACCAGGGAGTTCTGCCATATATTTGAAATGGGAGTTTCTGTCCATTCACAGAAAACATTTTTTCCCCTCAGTTTTAAATTTTTACCTTAATTTTTCTTGAAATGTTATTTGCTACTGCCTGCCTATCAGTCAATCTAGTGTAAGATAATTTCTGATTTAGCGTACATGATCTGTTAATTTTATAATTTTATATTTACTATATTAACATTTCATGATGTTCTACGAAGAGTGTCCTGAGGTGTTTAGGTTCTCTGTCCTCTGCATAGGCTTGAGAACCATCAGGTAACAGCTGGCCAAGAAAGAAACTCAAACAGCTGGAAAAAATGGCTATTCTGAGCCTTTAAGTTCTCTTCCAACCCTGAATTTTCATGAAAACCCCATTTAAAAGTATGTCGAATTCACTATTACAGACTTTTAGCACATGCTAAGACAGTTTCATTTATAATGTGCTCATGTACAAAGCTTCATAACTCTCACTTTCTGTACGTGTTTTAAAAGAACCGCTCGAGGCTAAATTGCTCTTACTTTATAGATTAAAACTTGTTTTATCTTAGACAATACCCATTGCTTTAGGTTTACAATAGATTCTAATGTAACTGTAATGGTTCCAGTTTGCAGATAACAGGATTTTCTACTTTACCTTAGATGGCGAAGATTCCGCTGGGGCAGATTCTGGTCGTCTTCGTGGAGGAACAGGAGGGGGGACAGGCACCTCATCAGTGCCCTTGGTTAAACTTATAGATGATACTGAAGCAGATCCTGTAGGATATTAAATTTTTTTTTTAAAGTTCACAGGAATTTTATTTCATTTATTATTCCTTTAAAGGCTTAGCTGGAAACTGCTTATATATATAAAATAAAAGTGTAGAAGTATCGAAAGCAGTTCAGTAAACCAATACCCAATAGTATTTCCTTTATTAAAGCAAACTGCTATAAACGCATGCAGAAATTTCTTAGCAGAATCTTCAGAAAGAAGCTACCTAAGAGATCCTGTTATTTTGCTTCTTGAATAAAATAACATTCCCAATATTAATCTATTATCAGAATTTTTACTTGGGTTTGATTCTTAGATTTCTGGGAGAAACAGCAAACTACTGAAAACCTTTGGAGTATAATTTCTGTTAGGCTTTTGTGATGGGCTCACTTTTCTCTCTGATGTTATTGGTACAGAATTGCCCTGCCCTTACTGGATAGTCCCTGGGAACAGAGTTTCTGATCTTAGCCACCCCCACAATGCTTCTCCCCAGCAAGTCTCCCACAGGATGCCAGGGAGAGGATCTAGTGTCTGGGGGCAAGCTGTCTCCTCATTTGCATAGGCATAGGCTCTCACTGGCCTGTAAACAAAATCAGGCTTATTACACTCTAAGCCAAACATTTTAATTGTGATGGAGCTGTTCAAGACGACTGATGCAATCCTAGTAATGAAAAGAGAAACGACACTAAAATCTAGTGAACTTAAGAATAAATTGGTGAACTGGCACAAAAAATTAAGTACAGCTTCAACTGGAACGTATCTTAGAGACATTTATGGTGACAAGGGCATAATTTAGGCATGTAAATAATTACATTTTGAAAAGACAACACCTATGTAAGTTGTTAGCTAGTTTATGGACACTATAAAAAGATATGAAAAATATTTTTTAAAAAGATCATTCAAAATACTATTTGACAAGTTCTTTTTTCCTTTAAGCATTAAATCAGAGCCTTTATTTTGTCACTTAAATATTAAAACAAATTTAGACTTAAAAAGAGTATTTGATGTACTATTTTTCAGCTGTCTACATTTTGATCACCTACCTTTTTTCTTAAGACTGTATAGTTAATTTAGATCATAACTAACATTTCCATTGTAAACATTTTGAAATCATTTGTGTGAAAGGACAGTGAGAAAATATTAATAAGCTTGAAATTTATGGAATAATTTAGTGAACTCTTTACTAAAAAAATTTAAAGTAAACAGCTACAATGGAATACTTAAACTTTATAATTTAAATAGTTACAGTTATAAGGGAGCTCTTCTAAAGTTGAATTACAGTGACCTGCCTACAACCCAGGCTGTCACCAGGCTCAGTGACACTGCATGTTGTTGCCAGCATTCCCATATGCGCATGCATGCTCTCACTTCTTTCTCAAAGTTGAGTATTAAAATATATTTAGAACTCTATAGTTGGGAAAGAGAAATGGTTAAATGTGGAATCCACCCATTCAATATGTTCTTTAAAAAGAGAAAAAAGGTTTTAAAAAAAAAAAGCAAATCATTTATGATCAAAAGATAGCACAAGTGAAGGCCTCACTTCTAAGATGTTGCAAGCAAGGTACCAATGCTGCCAGACCCAAGAAGAGTTTTAGCAGGAAAGGTTACACTTGGTTTAATTTTTAAAGCCAAAGCAAGTATTATGAGTCTTAAACCAAATATACTAACTTGGGCCATGGGGCAGTGTAACTTGGATAAAGACGGTATCGCTGCCTGTGAAAGGAAACAAGAAAGAGTAGATATTTTTTTCTTTCATTGATATATTCAACTCATCTACAAAAACTGATTTATGATAAAAATGTTACTGTCATTCCAGTTTTAAAGAATGCTATAACAGTCTTTAGTAAAAGCACATTATTACTTACTTTTGAGAAGAAAAAGAATTGAGTTAACATCACATTAGGAATTTTGAAGATTCCTTTTAAATTCACAGTAATTAAATGAAAAGCATTCATGAGAAAACAAAAATATCCTATAGTATTGGATGATTTCTTGGTATTTTTAAATGTATAAAATAAACCCAATTCAAGCAAAGAGTTTAGCATGACATATCGAGATATGTCATTTACTAAAGATTACTTTGAAAACTCAAACTTGTTGCGAAACAAGTATTAAATAACAAATTTATGTTACAGAAGTTGAAAAATAAAAGGGAGATTTCTAACTAATATCATTATTACATACCTTTAAAAAATGTTCTTGGGGCATACAGTCTCATCACAAAATAACTACAACTTTGGATATTACCAAACACGTCTGAAAGTGACATAGCTATTTCCATCTATATTTTTAAATCTTTTAAAAAAAATCAATAAATATTTGGTGCTTAAATATATTTTACATAGGAAACCACTGATAAATTTAGAATGTCTACTTTCAACAATATTAATTATTTTAAGAAAAAAATTGAAAATCAAAAGCCAAAACCCCAAGAGCATGAAAGTAAGAAAACTGAGACAAACGGTTAGATGATCTGTACAGGTAATCCCCGAGTATAAACAGCGGGGTTCCATTCCAACAGTCAGTTCTGACTTCAGCTGAATACTTCATTTTTTTTAAGTTTTCATTATTACTGCCTTTTATTATCAGTATCTTTATAAGTCCTAACATTGAACACCTGCAAGTGAACATCTGGGAATGATAACATCAGCAAATTACACACTGCAACACTGAATGTAGTACCTATTACTAATGTAAGATGTACAAAAAAAACCCCAGACAGTTATAAGTACAATTTGTCATAAATATGTCATAAGTCGGGGACTACCTGTATTGGTTTTAAATCAGTATATTAATTTATGTTACACTGCCTCATATTACCAACATATGGAAAACATAATATCCAAGAGAATTAAATAATTTCTATAACACTAGATAGGCTGATTTAAAAAATTTTAGATTCTTCTCCCCACCCCCCGCCCCGATAATAGGCAATCACTCAGAAATAATTTGAGCTTTTGTTTATTCAAGTTTATTTGGTCAGAACGAGAGTAATTTTATGTTCCAAGTTCAGCTGGCATGACTCCTGTTAATTTGATTGCTTATATAGATACAGTGGTCTTATTTTCTAGACAGCCCCAATTCCAAATAATCTACCCTACTATCTGCTTCTATATGTACTGATATTTATTTGGAAGCCACAGTCACTAATTACAGCAAACCAGTTCTAATGATCTCTAAGAATAGCAATGCTACTTCTAATAAGTTATCTCTCAGACGATTAAAATTCATTTTTATACTCTGATATACAAGTAGCTGTTGCTCTGTCAATGATTTCACTATTTATTAGGCATCTGTGACTTAACAGGAATTAAGGGACCATGCAGCTCTAGTGCTTACCTACTTACATATTTGCTTTCTTGGAAAGGAAATAAATGATTAAACACTATTGTGTCCTGGAGATTAGCCTCATGAACATGGTAGTACATTTAGTACAAGGTAGGAATGAAATCAAAACACAAAGATCATGACTGCTACAAACTGCAGTCTTTTTTGAAAGAATGATTATACATATGCATACACACTTCTGTACACAGACATAGAGATGCAGACTTGGCTTTGATCATATATATATAGTATAGGGTTAGATTCATGCACCTGACAAGTTTGGGGCATTTTTCTGATTTCCCACTTTAAACTAACTGCTTGGTCCCAATGCCTAGAAAATGTTATATAAAAAACTCTTTTACAATTATTCATGCTCTAATCAATATATGCTAGAAATCAAGATGTGCTAGAAATTTTTATCAGCCAGGAACTGAACAAATTCATTTATGACAACTAGAAGTGAAATCCAATTAATTAAATGAGTACTAATTGTTAAGTGGAGCCCTGGTGGCACAGTGGTTAAGCATTTGGCTGCTAACTAAAAGGTCAGCAGTTTGAATCCACCAGCCGCTCTTTGGAAACCCTATGGGGCAGTTCTTCTCTGTCTTAGAGGGTCACTATTAAGTGGGAACTGTCTCGACGGCAACAAGTTTGGTTTTGGTTTAATTGTTAAGTACAAATCCCAGACAGTAGACCAGTGGTTCTCAATCTTGGTTGCACAACAGAATCCCCTGGAAGCTTTTAAAAAATACTGACGCCCAAATGCCAATGCCAGTCTAATTCAAGTGGGAGCTGGGCAGAGGTATTTTTTTTAAAGCTCCTCAGGGGATTATAATGTACAGTCAGGGCTAAACCCGCTGTTGAAGATACCCCCATTTTATAAAGGAGCCATTCTTAAAACTGGAATAAGCATTGTCCTGTAGGAAAAAAAAAATGATATAAATGATGGCTAACTTCTTAAACCCACAAGTCTGCTAAACTCAAATGATTTGAGATTAGAAACAAATCATCTACAACAATGTTTCCATGAAGAAGAGCCTTGCATTCCAGCCTGAAATGCTTGGAATGTATCTTCCTCCTGCTAGAGTTCCCGTACTGACAGAGGAGAGGAAGCACGTCTGCAGCCACAGGCCAGGTTAAACCTCTGGCTCCCTTTCATGACCACCCAGGCAGTCTTCAAACAGGAAGTTAACGAGAGGTGCTTCATCATCCTCCCCTCCTTGCTGTAATAGTAGAAACAAAGCCGTGAACTGGGTGGCCTTTTCTCTTTTCCCAGCCACTGTCATCATAATCTTGAAGGTGGACCTGGCCAATACATACCAGGGTGTAGGTGGCAGCACTAAGTAGGTGGCCAGTTCCCTCTCCTGGCTGTCTTCACCAAAAGCATTCCCTGACCATTCTTGCTCATTCTGTGGTCATCTTTCTCTAAAATTCTAGGGCACTCATGTCTTTACTGCTCAACATCTGACTGTGAATCTCCTTGTACTATCATTATTTTTCATCTCTCAGTTAAGACTGCAAGCTTTACCAGAGAACGTGTAAGTGCTTAGCAAGGAGTAAAATACGCAACAGATACAGGCTGAATGAATGAATTATAAGTTTAAAACTAGATTATCTGGGGGGGAGGGGGCTGGGAACTACTATAAAAGGCAAAAGAGAGTAGTACCATTATAACTGGTCAACAATTCTAGTCACACTTTGCCTTTTGAAAAATTTAAGGAATGGAACTTTCTGCTGCTTTGTATCAAATGGAGTATGTTCAGACGACCTAAGACTGTACGTGCATGGCAGCTCCTTCCCACCAAGTTCTGAGGGAAACAGGGAAGTAGGTGTTCACTCTGGTGGCAACATAGTGGGTAGCAAGTTGGGGGCTCTGACCCTCACAGCACTAGCAGATCAGTCAAGCAGAAGTGGGGTCAAAAGCAGGCGAGGACCTTTAATACACATGGACCACAGACGTGCAAGAGTGAAGTCAGAAACTAACTGTGCATCCAGATGGTTTTGTATTATGGTGAGTTAGTTGATTTCAAAATCAGTTATTTTAGAACAAGGAGGGTAGTAAAAGGGGCCTTCTTTATCATAAAGAAGGAGAAATTAAGAGAACCCCCAAGTCTAAGCTTACAAAGCCAGACTCTTGGAACACTGTTTCTTCCACTTGCCCAGCTGTTTAATCCTGTTAATCCTGCTCTACTGCCAAAGCACTGGTCCCACAGCACTGTGTTCCCACATGATGCCTTCTCCCCTGCTTACCTAATCACTTAAGATTTAGCACCAACAGAAAACTTAATATGCATCTCTTGGTCTCCCACCTCTTCCACTTTTGAACTACTTCTTTAACTAAGAGAAGTAGAATTTGCAATCGGTGGGTCGCATGTAGCTTCAATAATTCACTCATGTGGGAACCCTTATTATATAGACCTTAGCCATCTGCTCTAGGGAAAAAAAACCAAAAAACCTGCCAACAGTTAAATGAAAAAATGATTTCAGGTCAGCCATACTGCAAAAACTTTTTATTACTTAATTTAGGGGGTTGGCGAGAATAAATTGGATTTTTTTTAACCTGGTGTTTATTTGAATTTATCAAAAATACCTGAAAGCTTACTATGTGAATAACACAACTTCAAAATCTTCAGTTGCCAAATAAAGCTGAGATGTTGCAACTCTCAAGACAATTACATTTTAGCTAATAAAAACAAGACAAACTGTTCAAATATATGTATATAACACATAGGATTCTAGACCAAATCTCAAAATAATATCCCTCAGACAATAATTTTAAGCAGATTTTTGTTAAAAAGTTAGATTCTCTGAATTGGAACAAACCTTAAAAATCTAGTTTGATCCCTAGAAGACACAGAAGAAGTATTTCATCTAAAATCGAGAAAGCTCATTAGTAGACTGGGATGACAAACCAGGATTCCTGACTCCTAGGCCAGAGCTTCTCAGACTCCTCCCCCATGATTATGTCATGCTGCCTCTCAGTACTGAATTCTATTCTGACAAAAATACTAGGGTAGACCTTGATCTGCACGTGGAGCTCAGCATGTGAAAGTGGTCTAGACAGGGTTAAAGGTGACTGAATTCAAGTTTTGATTTAATAATGAACAAATGAAAGAGAGTTGTGTGTTCTGAGTAGAGGTGTAAAGTTCCACATGAAATCGACTAGAGAATTAACGGAAACACTGTGGTCTAGATACAAAAGGTAGTTCCTTCCAAGGGTTGTACAATTTGGTAGCCACCAGCCACATGGAGTTATTGAGCACTTGAATACGGCTAGTCTGAACTGAGATGTGCTATGACTGTAAAACACACACTGGATTATGAAGACTTAAAACAGCAACAAAAAAGAATGTAAAATATCTCATTAATAAATTTTTATACTGATTACATGTCCAAGTGACAGTATCTTGAATATACTAGGTTAAATAAAATATATTATTAAACTTATTTCACGTAACTCTTTTTTTTTTACTTTTGTTTAATGTGGCCACTATAAACCAAAGACCAAACCTGTTGCCATTGAGCCGGTTATGACTGATAGCGACCCTATAACAGCAGGCACTATATCATCATTGGGAGCCCTGGGGGCACACTGGTTAAGAGCCTGGCTGCTAACCAAAAGGTCGGCAGTTCGAATCCACCAGCTGCTCCTTAGAAACTTTATGGGGCAGTTCTGCTCTGTCCTTGAGTCGGAATTGACTTGACAGCAATGGGTTTTTTTTTTTTTTTTAATATACCACCAGCAAGATGGGGTAGCTTGAGACACGGTTAAGCAGGAGTTTGAATTTGATACACTGCAAAATTAGAAGCTACTGCAGAGTTTGGTGGGGAGGGAATCATGTACCCTGAGTAATATTCAAATATGGTAATTCTGAAGGCAGCGTTTAAAACATGGGACTGACATGCCCTGCAGATTTTATTATCTTTGTTTTCTCTGGATAGGACGGATTCATTTTAAACTCATAAACTGAAAATAAATGATTAAATGAAGTTTAAATTACCAATTTCATTGCCAGGTCTTTCAGTGAAGTACAATAAATTTGAAAAGGGTTGTTTCAACAGATTTTTTTAAAAACTGAAAGCTGCTGGAGTTTTGAATTTGTTTTATTTTTGTAATATTTGTTGAAATGGTATTTGACTTGCCTGCAAGTTCACAAAAAAGTTGTATCAGAGAGATTCTTTTCTCCCTTTAGCATGTACAATACTGATCATTACTTTAAAGCACTAAAAAAATTTTAGCACCTACTTGAGTGAAAAGGGCTCGAATGATCAGAATCAAATACGCTGCAAACATCTGTGGCACTGGAAGCACCAGAAGCAGGAGGAGGTGTTAACGGTGTTCTTGGAGAATTTGGTGCAGATGCTGTACTTTCTGTTTCGTTTTCAGGGATCCGACTATAACTAATCTTCCTTGGCTCCTGCTGCAGAGGTGTGGGATGTCGCATGGTGCCAGGTCTTGGGTTTGATGGACGGACACCAGGAGATTTTAGGGGATAGCTATATTTTTTTGGCTGTAGACATGTCAAAAGAAATATATTATTTAAAACACCATAATAGAAAGGAAGGTTTTTCTATATGTGCCTGGAAAATGCAACTGATATCTAGGAAAACCAAAAATCACTAATAATGAATTTACATAATGATTCAAATCAAAGTGTCCAAGTTGAAGTATTAACATATCCCACTTTGCTGAAGCCATGGCTATCTAAATTGTTAGGAAATGAATTTCTTCTAATAACTGAGTTTTCATCCTATAAATACAGGGGAGAGTGTTTATTATTTTAATATTTTTTGGATGGAAATCTTTCTAAAATTGTTTCTTCTCTGGCTTTTTAAATGGACTGATTGTGAAAAATTTTAACATCCTGGAAAAGCCAGGATCATCATTCTAAGTTACAGCTCCTTGGTATGCTATCATACCGTGATGCCACCAGGACCACTGGAATTATTTATAAATGCTTTAAGTTGCTAAAGTTTTCATCTGTGTGTGTTAGTTTTATGGTATTTTTCTTGCAGAGTAACCATTTCTCAGTGATATCATCATGCTTCAAAGGAGCAGACTATCTACCCATTTTCAATTTGCTGTTTTTAATCCATCTTATTAAAAAGTGTTTCAGGACTGAGAAGTTTTCTTGTGAGGTAACTGCATAAGCTCTAGTTCACAGGCATTAAGAAATTTATGTTTACTTCCAGATTCCTGACTTTCTTAGGTATAAGAGAGATCCCATTCAGAGCAGTGAGGGGATACTGTACATAAATCTGGCCAGGCACTAAAAAGTAATAATAAAAACAACAACAACAACAACTTTATTTTCCCAAAGCATCTTTAGCCAAACCTGATATTTATAGCTAATGATCCATGGTTATAAGTTCTAGTAAGTCATTACTTTAGAAAAAATTTATTATAAGTGAATCAGTATAAATCAATCGAATTTCCTGTCCTTAAATCTTGAATAATAATTCTTTTGTTAAAGAATACAATAAAAAACTTACACATTTGCCCAATTTCTTTGTCTATCAGGATGTGTTCAAATTATTATTAACATTCATTTATTTGGAACCAAATGGAATATTCCTGAGGATATCTGTTAAGCATGTAGCCTTTACTTTTAACCATCACATGTGCACTTCATCTCTGAACATCTTTATAGAAATCTAATCTAGATAATACATATCATAGTAATGACATCATCAGCTGTAGATGACAACTAAAAAAAAATATATAAATGTAAAAAATATATAAATATATGAATGCTTACAAATCTTGGGAGAGGCTTAGGGTTTCGTGGTTCTATTTCTAGGGATTTGTTGAAAAGATAATCTGTAAATTCTTTTTCCATGCTATTTCCCATTGGATTCAAGTTTTCAAAGAACTTCTGAAACAAATGCAGAGATAAACAATTGTTAATATTATTTTAAATTCAGTTTGAAATCCATGAAAGTAATTTAAGAAAATATTTTAAATGATTTAAGTTTTGTTTTCCTTTTTCTGCTCTACCAAATAAACCTAACTTTCAACAGGCAGTTTATAAACTTAATCAGAAACATGTTCCCTTAAATAATTCAACTTACTTTGATACCTGATTCTACTCGTAAACAGTAAGGCTGATTTTGGTACTGCTGGATCTCTCCTGTTATTTCTGCTACTTTCCTCCTTTTGCTGAAGTTTATAAGTTCTTTTCCATGTCTTTTTAGGACCTCAGGGTTGCCTTCTTCTGTTTTCAAGATATTAGTTAAATAAATTCCTGGAAGATATAATGAAATTATTTCAGGGATCAAAAAGGAAAAAGCTAGTTTGTTTTCTCTCCCATGTGGCATATAGCACTGTACCATCCCAATCATCATAAGCGAAGAGTCAAGGCAAAGAAATCCATGCTATGAAAAACAACAAGCTAAGTAGGTACCAATAAAGGTTTTTATAAGTATCAAATTCTCTACTGAAAGACTTACATTTTATAAATACCCAAGGAAAAGGGAGACCAAGTTTACTAACAGTTGTTTCAGGAGGATTAAGTAACCAATTTTCCATACCCGCTAAACCACTGTTATTTGACAGAAATCACAGTTTTGTTAAAGGAACTTCAAGAATAACCCTATCACTAATGACACACTTTTTGGCAAAAGGGGAAAATACTAAATTTTGAGGATCACATTTTCTGCTTACTCTGCTCTTGAGGCCACACAAAAGATAATCACAATTTGCAATCCAGAGGCAGTACTGTTTAGATGGGCTTACTCCTGGCAATGTGGAAGGATTTGCAAGCTTATCAAACCACAGGACTGTTATGATTTATGTATATTCTGGTCTTCAGTACTTCTGGGCTTAGTGGTAATCTGGTGACTGACTTCCTGTTTCCCCATCATTGCAGGCTGTGCGCTGGATAATTAGGAGAATAAACAAGTAGCAAGCACTTTAGTTCCTTTTTGTTCTAACATCAAGGTTCTGAAGGCAGCTCTGCTGCTTTCTACTTAGGTGATCTTGCAGAAATTGCTTAGCCTCTTTCTGCCTCAGTTTTCTCATCTGTAAAATGGGGACAGCTGTGAGAAATACAAGAGTGAATTTATGTATTGGCTTAGAATAAACCCACTTGCCACAGAGTCAATTCTGACTCATAGTGTACTGTGTGTATCAGAGTAGAATGTACTCCATAGGGCTTTCAATGGCTGATTTTCTGGAAGTAGATCGCCAGGCCTTTCTTCTGAGGCACTTCTGAGTGGATCTGAACCTCCAACCTTTTGGTTAGCAACAGAGCGTGTTACCTGTTACACCACCCAGGGACTCCAAGGCTTAGAATAACCAAAAAAAAAAACCCAAACCACTGCTGTTGAGTTAATTCTGATTCATATCAACCCTATAGGACAGGGTAGAACTGCCCCCCTAGGGATTCCAAGGCTGTAATCTTTAAGGAAGCAGACTGCCATGTCTTTCTCCCACGGAGTGGCTGGTGGGTTCAAGCTGCTGACCTTTCAGTTAGCAGCCAAGTGCCCAGAATAGTGCCTGACAAAAAGTAAGTGCTTAATCAGTTACTGTGATTGTTGATGCTATTGTTGCCATTCTGTATTTTGGCCCTATTTTCTTATGCTTTCGCCTTTCCCCGCGAAGAACTGACATGATGCTTTGGGAAGAAAGGAGGTTGGGAATATCTGAGTTCAATCACTCAATACATATGTATTGAGTCCCTGCTACATGCCAAACACTGCATAACGTACTGCAAATACAATGATGAATAAGGCACACGCAGTCCCTCACCGCGAGGACGTCAGAGCTTTGCATGTGGGCTAACAGTACAATTTGGTAAGTCCTGTATTACTAGTGATGCTTAAGGTGCTGCAAGAGCACAAAGCAAGAGTGCCTAACTCTGCCTTGAGCTGGTAGGGTTAGAAAAAGCATCAGAGATGAGGTGATGCCTGAATGAGTCTCAAAGAATGAAAAGAAGTTTAATGGACAGAATAAAATGGAAGGGCATTCTAAGCAAAACAGCAATGTGTAGGAAGGCATTGAATTGTGTTGAAGCTTGGAAGGCATATTTAGATACAGCTTATTGTTTGGTATGGCCAGACTATAGGGGTTTGGCGTATGGGGTGGGGAAGACTGGTGGGATAGGAGGGCAGACATAGGCAGGGGCTAGATCAGTGGTTTTAAATGCTTCTTTGATAAGAGGCATACTTTAAATACTAGAATTTTGGGCCACATCCTTGAAGAGATTAAATGACTCAAATCAATACTAAACAAGGAAGCAATAATGAAATATGATTTAGACAATACTTGTTTGATTCAGACAATACTTGTTTGATTCTAAAAAAAAAAAAAAAATCCAGTTACTAAGTTATTGGCTATTCCACAGCACCAACTGTTTGCCTAGTAGAACTGTTTACTGTTTAGGTGACTTGATTATACATTCTTAAGACAAAGTTACCATGTGTTCTAATAAGCACAGGCTCTTTGATTTTCCATGTCTGCCTGTAATTTGGCTCTTTTACTTGCAGCCAGTTATACTCTCCTCTACACTAAGTTGCATGATTCATTTAGCGCACTGCTCAGTCAGACACACATGTCCATAACAGTATGCATATGCAGTGGCAACCAAAATTAACCTTACATATTGGTCACAAATTGATGGCCTAGCTATGAAGAGTTTGTGAGTAGTAGCACTTGGGCTGGGTCAATAAGAGCCTTTTGTTTAAGAGCTTAATTTTTATTCAGTAAGTAATTAGGAGTCCTTCACCTCAAGGAGGTCAGAGCTTTGAATGTGGGCTAACGGTATAATTTGGAAGCATATTTGCATTCTAGAAGGATTACTCTGGCTGTACTGTGAAGCTAGATAGGTTCGAAGGAATTAAGACCAGAAACAAGAAGACCAGTCAGCAGGCTCTCAGGAGTCTTGGTGAGATGATGAGGGTGCTCTAGGGTCTATGGGCATAGAGTGGAGGAGACATATATTTTAGAGGTAGATTACACAAGAACTGGTTAACTGGCAAGGGAGGGAAGACTCTTAGCTTTGTGCTTGGGTGACTGAATGGGTGGTAGTGCATGGACTGACAATGGAAACACAGTGGGGAATAATAAGTTTTTGGGACGTCATAGGTGTTAAAAGTATACTTGAATGAAGTTTTGAAAATGCTTATGAGTAGCATTTTGGGAATTATTTTATGTGTAATTAATGGCTAGTTCAAAGGAGAACAGATGATCAGAGAAGTGATATGTGAACTTGTAGATCATACACTGCATCAGTAACAAATGTTTAAACACGCATCCTCAATATATGTCTATTTGTTAATTTAAAAATGTAGTACCAGTATATATACAAGACCTAAATGTTATGTATTAGTAAAGCTTTATATTTTTCTTATATTTTTACATAAGAAATAAATGTAAATAGAAGGTCTGGTGAATGTACTTCAAAAGATTGTTTTATATTCCTTACTCTGGGGCAGCTGTTCTCGGGAAAGGAAAAGCAGAGCATCATGATATAAATAACAAAGAGGGGTAAGGTTTCACATTTTGGTAATGCCTTTACCAACCTTCCTGGGAAAAAGTGGCTGCTCGGGGTTCTAGGTTCTCATAGCACACGGTTCATTCTTCTACCTACTATGTCTTATTTGTCTCTATTCTCAGCACCTAGCACTGGGCCTGGCACATAGAGGCATTCAGTGATTGTCTTTAAATTAATGAAATAAACGTGTTATTTCAGAATAGAAGAAGAGAGTGATTTGGAGAATAAAAGACCAGGATGCAAAAGACATACAGTCATTTCTAAAATGTCAGCAAAGCAAGGATAGAGAAGGAAGCAAATTTACAACAGAAGGTGGACATAAGATCAGAGTTGTGTAGTAGGAAAGAGCAAAGTCAATGCCATAGGCTTGGATGTTTGTGCATAGAAGAGAGACTTGGCTGAAGGCAGGACCTATGTCCTTTTACCTAAGAGAATGTCAGTTTGCCTACATATCTATTCTACCTATGAGCAGACCATTTGAGTGTACGGAGAAAAACTGGGATATAGACCAAAAGTCTGACATAGCCTTGGAAGGAGAAATCGCCTGACTTATTCTGTGACTGGCGGCAGTCTCAGCAACAGACCTGAATAAGATTTCTGGTAAATAATCTTAAAAAGAAGTAGAAGTGTCAGACACTGTCCCTGACCCTCCAACAGAGGGGAGGTGGGGGACTGTACCCAGAATTAAAGACAAATTATCTGGAAGGAATTTCTACAAACTAACATATGGATGGGATGGAATTAAGAAGCAGGGATAACATCTGGCTTTACCAGAACCATGAAGTCATGCCTGGGAATCTCCAGGGACTTATAACCTTTACTTTGAGAATACAGTGAAGACATTTCCTAGACCAGCAAACTGACGAGGGACAATTTAAATGAACTACCTTAAAAGAGCAGAGGTTCCATAACCAGGAAGATGAGTAGATAGGGTGCGAAGAGTGGTAGGTGGGCTGTCTGTCTGTACTATCAAACTACCTACGTATGTTTGTATTCCAAAACTAACTCATACATCTCAGCTTAAAACACCTTAATGCAATCATACTTAAGTGTAGGTCTGAACTTCCCCTTTTTTCACTTAACATGTTATAAAGATTATTTATGTTAGTTCATAAAGATGTGAGGAAGAGTATTTTAGAGAGTCTAGTTTGTATGAATAAATAGCCACCAATCAGGGTAATGGAAGAGCAGGGGCCAAACAGTGAGCCCATGGAACTCCCTGAAAGTTTCTTTTCCCCTCTGTACCAGAGATCATACACTATCATGAGTGGCATGACTATAAGCTCAGTGAGCATAGTGACTATGTATTTTCCATTTTTGCAAGCACCTGACATAGTCCCTGATACTCAAATATTTGTTGACAGACTGAATGATATGGACATCAGACCTCCCCGGATCCTCCCCAGGCTCCCTTGTATGAACTTGCATTATCGTCACCACACTTAGAAGTAAATGCGTAGGCTTTAATGTTTAACAGAAAGAAAAACATAAATGAATTCAATATTTCTATCAAGAATTTAGGGGGATACTGCAAGACCAAAAGAGACCTACATGAATGGAAAAACATACCATGCTCATGGATAGGAAGACTTAACGTTATGAAAATGTCGATACTACCCAAAGAGATCTACAAATATAATGTATATACTGACCCAAATTCCAACACCATTCTTTAATGAGATGAAAAACTAATCACCAACATTATATGGAAAGGAAAGAGGCCATGGACAAGTAAAGCATTACTGAAGAAG